GCCCCTCCTCGCTCAGACCCACGCACACAGCCTGCTGACAGCTAGGAAGGTACTGAGAGGAGGAGTCGGGGAGAGAGGGAGCTTAAGACGGGGCGCTGCATCCCTAACTGCTAACTACACCACCAGCCAACAGTCAACGCAAGCACGTGGGGAGAGACATCACCCCTTTCTAAGACGTCTCTGCGGTCCTTCCCCCATGCAGTTCAGCTCATTGTTATTCACACACGTAGCCAGAGGACAAGAGCCTCAGTTCTCCGTCCTGGACGTGGTGCATCTTTGTTCTGCTCATGGACCACTTTTTCTCCAGAGCCTTTCCTGACTCTGAGCAGCAGCTTTCTTCGTGCTTCCTCAGCACTCTGTTCAGAGACAGATTGTAACGTTTGTTTACACGCCTCCTCCCTGAATAGGCTGTGAGCATTTTGTCAGGGATAAACCTTGTCTTCGTCATCTTTGTGTCTCCACGGGCTCGCACCGTGTCCGGTGCCCTGAAAGGATGTGATAAATATTTGCTGAGTGAATGGCACTTGTTATTTTGTGCACTCGTTCAACAAACATTTGTCAAAAGCCAGAAACTTTATTTCTCCATAAAAACTATTTCTAGTGGCTCCAGTCCTGAGCAAAAGCCTGAACAAGTGTTTAATTGCCTTTCTATGACACTGCCAAAATTGATCAATTTCATAATTAAGAGCATATAGAAAAACAGCCATTTTCCTTTGATAAAATAAAAATACAACCTGTGAAATTAAAAAGTTACCTTTAGGCTGTTACACATTATTTGCCTTTTGGGCTTGAAAGATATTTGTTATGGGCACATTATGTGGTGAGTAAAATTTGAGATTTCTAGATAGGTACCCATAGAATCAATATTTAAATGTTCTTCAAACTGGTGTCATACATTGAGTGTACTTATACAAATATGGGCTATTTATTAATAATTATTCCCAGTAAATTGATGTAAGTTCATCAAAAGTTCTGTCTTAATTTTGCAATCAGGAATGTCGTTTCAGTAAAAAAAAAAATCCATGATAATGGTAATGATAGTAATTATTTCTCATGAAATAAGCTTATACTTTACAGTAAATAATAATTTTTCCCAGATTATTTTCATGACCATTAAATTATCCATTTGATCTGTCATAGACGTTTCAAAGTGATTTAGTTGATCGAAAATACATTTAGAAAAGTTGGAACATCAAGCCCAGATTCAAGTCTCCACAGTGACTGAAATTCAAAGTATGCCTTTGGTAAACGCCAACGAAGCGGCAGTGTCGCAGTGAGCTGCCTCTTAGAATCCGAATGCGTGAGGACTGTTGGAGAAAGCTCAGAAAAGAACACGAAAAACTATCGGGAAAAGGTCTGACAGGAAATTTTAAATGAGTATCCATCATGTAATGCAGAGAAGCAGGGTTAAGTTTCAGGTGTGCACTTTGGAAAGACTGCGTGGTTAGAAATACTCTGAAGGGCGGGCCTGGGCTGGATGATTCGGACTTCCCACCAGAGGGCGGTAGAGAGCAGGCCCAGGAGGCGGGCTCTCATTTTGTTTGCATGGTCACATCATTTTTGTGTTAATTTCTGTCTTAAATTTTAGAAGATAAAAAGGCGTTATCGTTAAAATACTTGTCTTGCACTCCCTCCTCTCAAATAATATGGTCCATTTACTTGGATTACGGCATTAATCTCCATTAGGTACCCTAATTCTACCCTAACACCTCCCTGCACTGCGTCTTCAGAGTAACAAGCAGAGAGAGATTGTTAAACTGCGAGTGGAACCATTTCAGTCCTCTGCTCAAAACTCTCCAACAACTTCCCTTCTCACTTAGAGGAAGAGCCGAAGTCCTTACGGTGGCCTTCAAGCTCCAGTAGTCTGACCCGTGCCTCCTTCTTGTTCACCCCACCCAAGTCACAGCAATCTTATTCTGCTTCCCCATCATTCCAAGTACCTCAGGGCCTTTGCACCTGCTGCTCCTCTGCCAGAGGTGCTGCTCCACAGGACGTTTGCCTGACTCCCTGCCTCTGCCCTCTCTAAGGTCGTTCACGTGTCACCTTCTCAGCGAGGCCTTCCCAGCGAGATCAGTCTATCTAGAGTTCAACCCCTAACTCCCGCTTTTTTTGTTCTACATTTTTCCACTGAATTTTCTCACTGTCTAATCTCACCACATATTTTATTTACCTACGACTTATTTTGCATGCTTCTTGCTCTTCCCTCTTGAATGTAGGGGCACTTCTACATTACTATTTCTGTTGGTAGAAGAAGTCTGCCGCTTTCCCGTTCAGCTGACACGGGCGTTTGCGCCAAGGCGGTGCGGACTCTCCGGACCCCCCCGGGAGCCTCTCTGCAGTTCAGCGCTGGGGCGGGAGGGAGGCCCAGGGCAGGATCCCCGCGGGGCGCGCTCTCTGCGAGCGAGCGCTACCACTCTGTCCTCTCCTACCTCCCTGTCTTTTAAAATTTATTACATTTCCTGACTTTGCTGCTCAGAGGAACGCGGGCTCTCTGCTGTCAGCCGGGTTCTTTATGATCGCTCTAAATTTGGAAGCGGCACACCGCAGCTCGGTGGCTGTAACACGGTTTCCAGGATTCGCGATGCCTGGGGACATTGGACCAGCCGGTGCCCAGCACATCCACGCTGAGCGCTCCAGCTGGCTCCTGGATGATACAGACCTTCTTTGGGTTTCCCATTAATTGGCCTGAGCTGCCACGAACACTGGTAACCATGGGACAGTGCCCCCCTCCCCAAACCCAAACAAACAAACAAAACCAAGCCTCCTTGGGGCTCTGAAGGATGGGGCAGGGCAAGAGAAGTTTCCAAATGAGGCTCAAGTACACTTAGCTCCTGGCTCCTGGCCTGGCTGTGAATAGAGTCACCGGTACACGCGGCTCTCCGAAGGCAGAAGCTGACCGCCTGCGGTTCAGAACACCCTGGGGAGTGGCTACCGCTGAGTCAGGGCTGAGGATGAGCCGGGAGACCCCGGACCAGGCTGGTTTACTCGGGGAGGGGGCTGGGATCAAGGCGCCATCACACCTTTCTATCTAAACAGGCCTAACCAGCTGATACCTGGCTCTTACTGCTGTCAGAGTCTTCCATTTAAATTCTTTTTGCAGGTACATTGTATATATGCCACCCGAAAAGCTGAAATAATAAAATGTGCCTGCTTTCCTGGGAAACAAAAGAAAAACATATTCAAACAGGGAGGGACACTATCAAGTCAGGGTTTGAGCAAAGGGAAGCCTCCTCATTGTGGACGTTGTTACAGTGAGAAGAAGGCCTTGACCCTTACTGGGCCCCAGAGATACGACGGATCCACAGTATAAATTAGTTTACTGCACAGTGGAATGCCTTCCGATGGGGTTCTGCTGCATCTCACATTTGGGATATATCCTTGATGTCGTTTATGCCTTAATTTAGACCACTTAAAGGGTTCATTAAAATCTAATTAAATGAAGATGCAAAAAGTAAAAAGTGCATACACCATAAAACATAATTTTTTCAAGCTGTGTTTTTGCAATGAGATGACTTTCAGAACACTGCAGTTAAAATGGCTGAGACACTCCATCTCAGGTCTATTCCTTTGAGTCACCACTCACAACACTGTTAGCAGCAGGAAATGGAAGATATTATCTTAATAAGCTATAATGGTTTTTAAATGTGACCATTTTAAACAGAAGCGATCCCAAAGCATCCCCGCAAAAAGTTACTTCTTATTTTTATTCAAAAATTAATAAGACTGATTTTGGTGGTGAGCACACCGTGATGTCTACAAAAGTAGAGATATAATGCTGAATTCATGAAATATATAATGATATGAATCAGTTACCTCAAAAATAAGTTAAAAATTTAAACATTGAAATTCAATTGCTATAACTCAGCTAAAAGAATGGACATGATAGTATAGCATACGAACAAGGAGTTTTTCACATAGAAGTAGTTTCATAAGCTCCTTGACTATGACTATTAGCACAGAATTGGTAATTAAAAGGCATTCGATAAAATAATTTTCCACTTGACACAAGCATTTCGCCATCATAAATGATGCACCAAGTAGTAGAGAAGGTAAAATCTAGTTTAATATCTATATTAGTTTCATCTCCAGGAAGGGTGCCCAGAAACACAGGGAAGAATTTAGAAAATTAGAGCAATCCAGTGACAGCTTATTAAGCCACCATTATTCACTGTGCTGAGTTCTCCTCTTCTTAATTCACTAGCTGACGTCACAGAGCTGGGAGTGAGGAGGCCAGGAGAGCGGCGAGCCCAAGTTGGAATGAATGAACGTGACAGAGCAAAGACCTCTTACAGTGGACGGAAAATCCACGGGGTAAAGCCACGGAAGGAAGACGGTGGCCAGGCAGAGCTGACCTAAATGCGCCGCGGACTCGGGACAATGAGGCGGGCGCGGGGTGCTGAGCGCGAGAACAAGGCGCAGCAGGTGCCCTTGCGATGCATCCGCCCTTGTTGCCCCGTCACTAAATCAACATCCACAGAAACTTCGGGAAGAGACGGGAGGGACTATTATTTGCTATTTCCAGGAGATTCTGCAAGAGTGACGTCTGCATTGGTGACGTCTTGACTGCTCCCATCCCCTGTGCCCCGTCAGCCTCGCTACCCTCGGCGTGTTCACTTCAGCACTGGTCACCCACCTCCGCCGTCCACCCCGTGGTCCCCTCCCCAGGCCGCCCCGGCGGGAGCGGGCACCGCAGCCAGGACGGCGGGAGTCCGCTCCGGCGGGGAACCTGCAGGAGCCGCCGGAGAGCGAGGTCCCGCGGGGCCCGCTGCTTCCAGGCGGCGACTGCGCGTCCGGGAACAGGCGAAACCGCGGCGGCGCAGCGCGCGACCGCGACGCCCGGGGCCCCCTTGCAGCTCCGCGCGCTTTCCGCCCACAGATCAGCCCCTGTCGAGGCCACGTCCACAAGCGAGTGGACGGGACATCAAAGGCCAGGTCTGCTCCTGTCACGTGGACGAGAAGGCTACTTACGCCACCTGGGATTCAAGCGGGGGCACACTTACCCGAGTAAGGGCGGGGACACAGGCAGGCGTATCTCCCGATCTCATTGAGGCACGTGGCCCCGTTCCCGCAGGGATGTGACGCACACTCGTCCACCTCCACGTCGCAGTGGCGGCCCTGGTAGCCCGGGACGCAGAAGCAGGCGTAGCCGTTGGCCCCGTCCCGGCACACGGCGCCGTTGCGGCAGGGGCTGGACGCGCACTCGTCGCGGTCCAGCTCGCAGAAGCTTCCGGCAAACCCGGGAGGGCAGACGCAGGCGGGCTGCGCGGGGCCGAGGCGGCAGACGCCTCCGTGCTGGCAGGGGCCCGCGCCGCAGGCTTCGTCGGCCGTGTCGCAGGCGGCGCCGCTGGACCCGGGAGGACATCGGCACAGAAAGCCCCGCTCCCCGGGGGCGCTCACGCACGTGGCGTCGCCGGGGCAGGGGCTGGAGACGCAGGGGTCTGGCTCCTCGTCGCAGCCTTTGCCCAGATGAAGGGCTGTGTCTGCGCAAGGGCAACTGTGGTCTTCTGACGCATCCTTGCAGGTGGAATTGTTCTGGCAGGAATGTGAGAGGCACTCGGTGTCGTTTTCATTGCAAAAGGAATCTGCAAGGAAATAAAAAACAAAACAGAACAGGATGAATAAATGGAGGGTGGTAAAATTCAAGAGCGTCCTCCTCTCCGCCCTTGGTTCATTTCAGACACGCTCATTAAATGCAATACAAAGTTGGCTGCATTCTCATGAGGAATTTGTCAAATGACGTCTAACAGTGAGTTTTGTCACTAATGATGATTTGTCACTGTTTTCAGAGCTGCTAACGAGAAACAAAAATGGCTGGTTTGAGAAGCTTCGCAGCCCTTGCGTTTTCCTTTCTCAGGTGGAGGTGCTGTCAAGCAACGGGGTGAATTGAAGCAACAGCTGAATTGTCCCGCATACACGAAATTTTGAAATTCACATTCTCTCATGGAGGGTTTTGGGGTGTCCTGGAAGATGAGATACAAAATTGTCTCTGAATATACCGCCGAACTGAACCTAATACTGGAATGAAGACTAAACCTTGGCTGGTGACTGCTTTATGGCAATCACTGTGGACGCTCTACAAAGAAAAGCATGGAAAAATGAAAATATAAAAATAAAATAAAACACCAACTGTTGAAGGTCTACTTTGGTAGCAAGCAGGTCAGGTGTTTCACATGTATTACTTCTAACCCTCACAGCAGCACCACATTACTACGCACATCTTAGAGATGACGGATTAAGCCCCACCGCAAGGAAGCAGATGTTATAAAGTTTCCGGATTTTCAGTTTTCTGAAAGATTCTCTGTTCTGGGGACACATTTTTGAAATTCTAATTGGAATGATAACCTGCCAGAAAGCAATAATTCTATGATTCTTCTCCAAATTCATCAGATACGTGCATGTGTATAAATTTTCCCTGAACATACACACATTGTGACCACAGCACCGTTATTTTCTTTTTTTATTCTTATTTTTTAAATTGAAGTGTAGTCTATTTACAGTGTTAGTTTCAGGTGTACAGCAAAGCAATTCAGTTATAGACATACACACACACACACACACACACACACACACATATTTTCAGTTTGTTTTCTGTTATGGCTCATTGCAAGAAATTGAATACAGTTCCCTGCACTATAAAGCAGGTCCTTGTTGTTTATCTATTTTATATACAGCAGTGTGCATCTGTTCATCTGAAACCCCTGATCTATCCCTGCCCCCCAGCCCTGTTATTTTCTTAATCATGTATATTGAGAAGCTTTACGATTTGGCAACTCAATCGTACCAGGTCACAAAACACTGTCTTTTGCATGTGGATTCATCTAATACATCATGCTCTTATTTTTATTTCCTTTCTCACAATATTGCTTATGAATACAATAGTGGCTAACAGGACAGGCCTGTAATTTTTTAAATTACAAAATGAAGCATTTGCTCTTATGATACGAGACCTCCATCAGTGACTGTCAGGAGACAGCAGCACGCACACCTCAGGGGATCTGCAATGACAAGCCTCTCCCCTCCCAACCCGCAGAAGGCGAAGGGGAAAGAACTTAAAGTTATGACGGAATATAAAGAACGCTCCTATAATTAAAAACAAGTATATAGATTTAAAGTTTGTATGAAGTGCCCTAGAAAATGAATGAAAAGCTAAATCCACAGCAAATCCCTGAGGTGGGACAGGAAACAGCTCATTCACAAAGCCTCAGAAATCAGAACAAGCATTCGCCTTACGGACGGAAACACTGGAAGCTAGAGGGCATTCGAACCATGCCTCAAAATTCTTGAAAGGAAATAATCTCCGAATTAGAATTCTGTGCCCAGCTAAACTAGCAATCATCCCTGAAGGGAGAAGAAAAATATTTTCAGGGATGCAGGGATTAAAATTTCCAGCTTTCATCCTCATTTTTCAGGCAGATCTTTCAAAATATACAGTCCATGGAAATGAGAGTGTAAAGCAAGAAAGAGAGCATGGAGTCCAGGGTACGGGGGATCTAGCAAAGGAAAGGAGTGAGCAATGTTACTGACAATTGCTCCCTGTACGGCAGGTGTGTTACCAGCGGGTACAGAGATTAACCAGTCCTGAGAGCAGAAAACGTGGGGCCCCAGGAAGGATGCGCAGTAAGGAAAATGCACGGAGTGTCATGTAAGAGAAGTGATGGAAAATTAAACAGAACAGTTAGGGAATAAAAAACCTCTCACTGGCATTACTTCTAGGGAAAACTGTAAGTTGTACAGGAAGGAGATGGAATCATAGTGTTACGGAAACGACAGGCCCAGCCAAG